TATATATATATACACACACATTTATATATAAGACTTGTTCAATAGTAGAACCAATTGTAATACAGATATTTTGAATTAAGATGTGTGTGAAGAACCACTACAACAGGAACTCTTAGTTGGTTCAGTTTCTTCAGCTTCATCTTCAACTACAACAACATTGCGGCGTATACTACTTGTTCTTGATAATGTAGACTTTTGTTCCATAAGATCTGCATGTTCTATCATGCGCAATGTTAATTGAAAAAACATTTCTTCAATATTTTCATTTAGTTTGGCAGATATATGAAAGTGCATAGCTCCAGTTTTGTTAGCAAACCTGAATAATAAAATTTTATATCAAAACAAATCTCAACATGATAATAATAAAAGATTGAAATAAACTTACTCTTCAGCTTCCTCAGTGTAAACACGTCTATCCTTTTCAAGATCTACTTTATTTCCAGCTATTGCTAAACAGATTCCACTGCCTAGCATTTTCCTAAGCTCTGTAACCCAATTTATTACCTGTGAAATGAACGTTAATATAGGATATAAAAAAAATAAAATTATATTTTTCTTTAAATCTTTACCCTCTGAAACGTATCGTAATCAGTAACATCATAAACTATAATGGCACCGTTTGACATTCTATAATAAATTGGTCCCAATGCATGAAATTTTTCTTGACCAGCTGTATCCCATATTGCCAAGTTTACTTTTTTGCCATGTACAGTCAATTTTTTGTTTAAAAAAGAAGCCTTAAAGTATAAAAATTAAAAACAATTGATCATCATGACTGACAGTTTACCAATCATAAAAACATCATAATATTATTTGTTCGTAAAACAAAAATAAACAAATTTCAAATATAAATACACCATAAGATAAAAATATCAAATATTAATCATCTTTCACCTGTAGTGTACTGATATGTCTATCATTAAATTTGTTTTCAACGTATCGTAATGCAATAGAAGTTTTTCCAACACATCCTTCGCCGAGTAACACCACTTTAAAGTTATAACCATTACCAGTGCTATTAATTGAACTGGCCATAATTTGTATATAACCAATATATACACTTAGATGATAATATGACAATTGTAATTGCGTAGAATAACCGCTGATAGAATTTATAGAGTATATTGATGACTGACGATCATAACGATGTGATATCCACGGGTGGGGCCCCTCATGCGGCTTTGTCCCCCTCTACGCTAATACTTTAGAGCAGTGGGGAAGTTTACGCGTCTCCTATATATTTTCAATCTCACATTTTCTCACTTCGTATTCATCTTTTGTACATGACATAAACTATATCTAGTTCTGTCAAATATTTAGTTTTGTTAAATAATCTTTTTATTTCACTATTCTGAAAAGAACCACTTATATTTCAATTCCTCCATATAACAAACACGAAACTCGCGCGGATCCACACTGCACTCGTACGACTAGCGTCTTGGTTTCCTTGACAACATCAACAAAGTGGGGGAAATGCATCTTATTCGTATCACATTCCTTATTAAAGTTTAGATAACACTGATTTGTGTTGCCACGAACCTATGGTAGTAATGATAGCAGTATCTCTATTCAATAACATCAAAATGAAAATAATCAGCTGTTTTCATTTTTAATAAGCACTTACAAAACAAAAAATGGAAGTATCTATATAATTTTTACTTTAAATGTATCGCCGATAGGTGGCAAATTAAGAGTATTTATTAAATGCTCGTATTTCATGTCTCGAAGTTCAAAAATATTACCGAACTCTTATAATAAATATTTTGCTGTTTGAAAAATTATAAATTTATATTCAATGATTTCAATGTCACGCAAAGAAAAAAAAATTGTACGTGTGCCAAACATTGATAAAATTTATCTGTGATTTATAAAATTAAAAAAGATTTGCATTACGCATAATTCTTTTTTTTTCATTGGTTCGTTATCTGCAAAGATGGCGCTAGTTTCGTTGTTACTAAGCTACCGCAATTTTATTCAAATTATTCTGACAAAACACATTTTCCTATATGTATCATCAAACTCAACGTTTATACGTAGACTTACGTGTTAAAACGTAACTGCAGTAATCAATTAACTTCTATTTGTATCTTAAAAAGTTGTAATTTTTACTGTTCTAGAACCCTGGTGGTACTTTATCGAACTGACGCCCGACAAAAATCAAATCCCTCACCGGAAATAAACGTATACAAGTAAGAACAAATTTGTAATTTAAGATCGACATATTATCAGAACACATCAAATAGAATACATAATAAATTTTCTCACGAAAAATACGTTAACTAGGAACGAGTAACGAGTAACGACAACACAAAAATTACAATTTCACGTTTGGTACTTATGGACGCTCGTTTGACCAAGGCATACATCAGAGTCAGCGCCGTGAGCCTGCGCAAAGAAGTTCTCAAATCTGGCCGTCACCTGTATTGAAAAGGTAAGTACTCCGCTGTCATTAATCTCAATATCTTAATATGAATTTCGTTAGCACATGTCGAAATAATACGACGTGTTGATAACGCGACATATTGTCAACAAATTTGTGGATTGTCACGCGAAATTACTCAGGTGTTTAGGATAAATATGTTCGGAGATGTCAGCGTCTTCGGCTCCGGGTTCCGAATCTGCCAGGCTGCTGTATCATCATCGATACATTTGACACTTATTTTCCATTCTCGTTTTCTCATCGATCATTCTCTTAATCCGTTTCTGATACATGTTGTTACAATTGCCGAAATTTCAGTGGTTTATGTCAATTGCAACGAGAAACTTTCACCAGATCGTAGATACCGTGTACCTTCACAGATTTTTCATTGTCGGCACTCGTCATTCTATTGACAGGACATCGAACAACGTATTGAAAATATCATTTGCATGCTAGCGTAGAAATCTACTGATTCCTGTATGTTATTCATCTTTTAGATTAACAACGATTCCCGCGTTTTACCTGCGCGGTATTCTACTTGGCAAGTAAACTTGTTTGTTTGTGCGTGCCGTATCATCTGTCATGGCGTGCCCGCTTGTGGCGGGTATCACATCACTGACTTTTCCTATCATTGTTAGCTCAAGGTATATGTCAGTTGGCATTATCATATACGCCACATGGGAGGAATTGTTCGAATAATTTTGGAGACATCGATCGACAAAGATATCACATTAATTTGATATTTCGGATAAACATACTGTGTACTTGTTAGGACGGGGTTGGTTAGAACGGTGGGAAGGGAAGGAATTAACGATGGCGGTGAACTGTACTGTGCCACGCGCCATGTCGGTCTCTTGCTCGCGCACGTCCTTCGTTCGGTGCACTGCGTTTGTAGATTTCTTTTTTTTTTTTTTTGGCTTTGTGAAAATGGCACACGATTTGTGGACCTCGGTAGGAAGCAAGAGCCCACATGTTTATAAAAAAAACCTGTGGCTTTTATGTATTATGCTTTGAAAATTGATCAGTTTTTTTTTACCTTCGACCGAATAAAAAGAAGCGAGTCAAAACATTTTTAGACAGAATTCAAAGTTATTACATTAACGAACATTAAATATTTTTTTCTGTTTATGAGACCTTATATTCATATAATTTTCTTGATTTTTTTTTTATATTTCGTATTATACTGTCAATTTTATGTTTTTATATTATTAAAAAAACGTTTTCGATCTTGAAAATTAACTTTACAGAAGTATGCAGTTATATTGAATTAAAGACAGTTTCATTTTACGTTCATGAGTAGTTTATACTTGCATAATATTGAGATTTTAATTACCTGTGAAATGAGATCTGCATTATCATACTTGTCCTTTTATTTATTGTAGCAATTGTTCTCTGAAATTGATATATATACGTGTGTACAATACTTTTGCAATTAACAAATTTAAAGTCATTATTTTCTATAAAATATTATTAATTTATCATACATGTATCGTGCAGTATGTTTTGTGATAATTATATAATAACAGTATTTATTAGTGATGATTAATACTTATAATTTAAATTTACACTTCAAAAATAATCATGCAATTTTTACAATAATTTTTAAATGTTAAGGTAGAGAAATACGTCTCCATATTTTTATTCAGACCAAAATACCGGAACCTGTTTTATCATAATGTAGGTCATCTCGATCAAATACTTGCGACATCGTTAAACATCGTTTCAACGAAATTGAAGTTTCTCTGACTAAACTACTTTTATTAATGATTTTATTTATTGTTCTGTCGGTGTATAGATACGTATAGATATAAATGCATCTACTATATATTTCTGCATGAACGCATATAATTTTGTAACATGTATTTACATCGAGGGATGGTATCTTCTATTTTTAAAATCGTAGACAACTGTAAAAGTGAGAACGAAAGTCGAACTACTGCGAGTTAGCATGTCAGGGCCACGTTATTCGAACATTGTGCATTTTTTATCTTTTGATACATTTCGTCCTTTCGGAAATATTTAGTTTAGCTATATGTGACAAAAATAGTCATTACAGATTCGTAATTACAGATATAATTCATTTTATATAATGTCCCTATATTATACATACATATTATATATACTATAGTTGACATGTTTATAGTTAACATATAATAACATTTAAAAAACGTAAAAAATATCTTATTGAGATATTTAAAATATACGATTTCATCTTTGAAAATAGAAAATTGATTTTGTCTAGAAAATGAATAATTGATTAAGTTTATCATAATTGCAAACAAATTAGATCAAGTTAAAAATATATACAGTAAATATCTCACACAATAGTTGAGTAGTACGATCACAGATGTCGGGAGGTTTGTTGTTATTTGTTATTGGTTTTTATGGTACATGCCGGTCTTCATTTTCGGTTTGTAAATACAGGCAAAATATAGATTTAATACGCGTGCTGTCGTGTTAGAGATCCGAGTCGTATCAGGATAAAGAGGCAACCGATCAACAAACCACGTGGCAACATCGCTATATCCCTCTTTTTTCTCTCCCCCCTTCCTGTTGCTTGATGTCCCTTACATCGTCTCCCACTATAATCATCGACTGCAACGAGGCGAAAGCACATTTACATTTTTTTGCGTACAGTATGTTGCAACATTCTTGCTTTGAGGTTTCGACTATCGATGGCGCCACTCCCAGAATCAGGGAAAAAATATGTCGTACATTGAAAACTAAGAAAGAATTGAACACGGAATTAAATTGTCCGTATTGTTTTCTCTGTACGCGTATCGCATAAAATATATTTTCAAATCGAATTTTATTCGATATTTTAATATTTTCATTGTATTCGTCGAGACAAGGCAACATCTCATTTGCAATTTCTTTTAATTGATTTACATTATTGAATTTTGTCAAGTTTTGTATTGCAATTTTAAAAAGGAATTTCGTAACCTTAATATTTGCCTAATATTTTTTCGTTATTATTTCTCCCTCCATTTAGATTCTATAATTTTATGAAATTCGAGACAACACACAACTTGTACAAATGTTATTTCATTATTTGGTACTTTATTGGTTAAACAAAAGTACCTTTATTAAATGAAATTACTTTAGGAGTTAGTCACACACTTACAAAATATACTTACTTAATGTTACTTTAATTTTCGAATCGTTCGAAAACTTCGTTGCGTTCGTCATCCTTGAGAAAAACAAGGACGGATGGGTAACGTACGGAGCAAATTCGGTATATCGAAAGAAAACTGGTTTGCCTCTACGTACTTATTACGATACTCGTCGAACGAATGCCAGTTCGTGAAATGTACGCACTTTTTCAAGTACGTAATAAAATTGCCGAAGTAAAGTACACCCTTCTAAATTTTATAACTTTTCATTTGGATGCTACTCCATGATGTGACCGCATATGACTGACCTGCTTTTGAAACTGAATTAAGACAAAAAGCCATATAGTGTACAATGTGAATGAACGATTGCGATAAAAAGATCAAAAGAGATAAGATCAAAGAGATAACTTGATAATTTATGAAATCCAGATCATATATTGATGAAATTTTCGTATCTGTTGATATTTTTTTATTGTACGCATTCGGCGTACATACAATAAATAATAAAATACAAGATATATATATATAGTATATAAATATCTTGATATAAAGTAGAAGAATTTCAAGAATTTCGTAGGCGAAACAAAAAATGATATTTCAGGACATTTCATGTTTCATCATGTTCACATATTACTGCGGTTTCCGCTTATTTTTAGATGTGTTTTCTTCTTGTCGGCACATCATAATATTTCTTTTCTTTCTCTTTCAAGTCGATTAACTCTGACTAAACAGTTTCCGAATTATAACAATTATGATACCTTTTCATTGATAAGTTTAAAACATAGACTTTGCTCAAGTGAAATTATTTTTCTGTCTTCGCATTACATTTACAGTAATATATAAAAACGAATTAACATTTTCATTAATGTTCGTAAAAAGTGACAAATCTTTATCCATAACCCTATAATTTATTCAACAATGAATGAACATTAATACAGATGAAAAATACTATAATGAGAAGATACATATGTATATGTATATTGTGTTTCCTGTTCCTGTGTTAGAAAACTTTCAACATAACAATAATAATATATAATATAAGTGACAAGTGAATTTAGTGATTCTACATAGAAAGAAAGTTTTGTTTGTAAAGTGTCGATTTCCTTTAGCACGTTGTTTTTCTTTGCAGTTTTATCGTATAATATAAAGTGGGGATTCGTGAGATTATGGACGCCCCCTAGTAGCATGCGTGCGTCAAAGAACGTAGCGTCTTGCACGTATACAATGCCATGCCGAAATCGCGGTGTTAGTTACAGAACTGGCAACGAATCGATATAAACAAGTATAATAAAGATGGTGATGATCAGTGGTTTTTCCTTCGTGACAAATTATCGCGAATGAACTTTTTACATAATTTTTATATACTGTTCGGGCAGGAACGGAGCTAATTTCGACCTTCGTCACGATCATCGAAACATGCTGTTCTCAGTAAAGGTACATTATTTTCAGGACGCGTTAAACATACGGTTCACAATTGTTTTATCTGTGTACCTATATACAATTCTTCTTTGTAGGTAATTGCTTACAATAATAAGCATAAACCGATAATAAATTGCGAAAAAAAGTATTGGAATGAATTTGGTTGGGATAAACTTTTATTGGTTTTTTGTGAATTTGTCATGTGATATGCTTTCTTTATGTAAGATTTCTACAAGATATTAATCCAATCAATATTATACATTAATTTAAAAAGTATTATTCAATATTTCGATTTTTACAGAAGCAGTTTGAAAATAACATGCAAAATGTTTAGTTTTCATAAGCCAAAGGTGTATCGATCTAGTACTGGATGCTGCATTTGTAAAGCCAAATCAAGCAGGTAAAATAACACTTTTAATAAATGTCATCTGATAACA